AAACCTAAGATGACCTAAGGTTAAAAAAAGAGCAGGAAAGGTTTTTTTTCCTGTTCTTATCTTGGATTTCTGTTCTCAAGTAGAAGCAAAATTTAGCAAATGGAGCTGTTCTTAAGTTGGATTGTTCTTAAGTAGGGACGTTCTTAAGTAGAGACCCCACTGTAATTTGGAAGAAGAGGGTGCTCTCTGGAGATGCTGAGTTAGACCAGGACTGTGGGATGATGAAAAGGTCACATGCCCACATCCACTGCTGCAATTTTAACTTCCGAAAACAAGCACACACTAGTGAAGTATGCATTTATGGAGAATGAGGGTTTCTTCTTAAGAACATGATATCTGTTGTAAGTCAACATGACAGTGCTCTACTAAAAATCAGTTGTACCTGTTCTTTAAAAGAAGAGGAAATGTTGCATGTCACACTGAACACGAAAGAGTGAAAGAATAGGTTAAAAGTGTTAAGAGAACAAAATGATTTAAAAGATGTGGAGCCTGCATGGTTAAATTGTGAACTGGCCAGAGAGTGTTTTGACTATGGGGCAGTATACAAGCAGCACACTTTTAAAACTGAATAGAAGCCTGCCAATAGATAGGTAGAAATATTGCTGTCTTTTGAAAACAAAGCAGCACAGGGAAGTTATTAACACATCAAGGAATTGTTCATCTCTGGGGCATTCTCAGATTTCCAATGCGACAAGGATGACCACCACCGACACGTATTGGTTTGGTGAAAGATTCTATGAATGGGAGCAGTACCATATGTTGAACTTCTGGTTATGAAACTTGAATTATTTATTTAAAATATTTCTATCCCACCTTTCTCCTTAAAAAGGACCCAAAGTGGCTTACATCATTTAAAATACAATATTTAAAAGCTAAAACAGTAAGTATAAAAGGTTTAAAAGTTTAAGAAATAATTAAATAAGCATTATATTTTAAAAAAATAAGTAAAATCAATCCTAAAACACATTTGAAACAGCACTTTTAACAGAGCACAAGAGGCCGTTTAAAAAAACCTTCTCAGGCCACCAGTCAATAAAGAAGAGAGCCTGTCTGACGGGAGTTAGATAGGTGCCATCAAGTTGTGACTGGCTTTTTTTAGATTAGGCATCCTTCAGTCTCCAGAGACTATGGTAATGTGCTCTGTATGGAGGACTTGGAACAGCGTCTAGTGTGGCTGAGAAGGCCAATTCAAGAGTGACAACAATCCCTTCCACACTGAAGACAAATGCAGTCTGTCCCCTGTCCAGCTCCCTGATTTTGCTGCTTTCGGGACTGCTTTTTGGCCTCAGCCTGCTGGACAAGGGTCTCTTCAAATTGGGAGAGGCCGTGATGCACGCCCTTGCCTCCAGGCTGAACCCTCAGAGGTCAAGGTTTCCCAGCTGTTGAAGTCCATTCCGAAGGCCTTCAGATCCCGCTTGCAGATGTCCTTGTATCGCAGCTGTGGTCTCCCTCTGGGGCGATTTCCCTGCACTCATTCTCCATACAGGAGATATTTTGGAATCCGACCAGCAGCCGTTCCTGCAACATGCCCGAGCCAATGTAGACGTCGCTGTTTCAGTAATGTATACATGCTAAAAATTCCAGCTCGATCTAGGACTACTGTACTCTATTTGGGACTTTGTGCAACTGGCTTCAAGTGACCCTAACAAGGCTTTCATGATAGGTGGAGTCTTTACGGAAAGTCTTTCCCATCCCCACCTCCCCAGTGAGTTTCTGTGATTGAGCAGAGATTCGAACCCTGGTCTCCGGAGTCCTCGCCTGTCGTACCCCGTAGCTGCAGCATAGCTGTGAAGGTGGGTTAATCCTCCCTGTCACGTGGGGTGGCTGGTAGAGGCCTTTTTCTCACTGGGGGCTCAGCGCCTTGCCTTTGCAGCCTCCACTTGAGAGCTGCCGGCTGAGAAGCAATGGCCAGACAAAGGCAAGGCAGATCCTACGCTCAGTTTCTAACCATTCAGTGTTTGGGCTGGAGGGCAGATTACGAGGGGTTAATATGCTCTTGTATTTCAAAAGGCCAACTCAATACCATCACAGTCGACAAGGCCTCCCCAGACCTTTGGGCAGATAGGATTTTATCTTTTAAATACAGGTCAGTGTATCTAAGTCTTCACCCACTCTGTGCGATGACACATGCTAAAGCTTGGATTAAACCATGTTTCTGATGTGCTTTCAACTGGGCAGAGTCTCAGCCAGAGGAAACTGGGAGACTGAGGCACCTCCACCTGGGTCAGAGGACTGAAGCACTGTCGATTAGGCCTCCTTCCATGTCAAGAGACGATGGGAACGTGCTCTGAATAGAGAGGTCTTAGAACAGCCTCTAGTGTGGCTGAGAAGGCCAATGCGGGAGTGACCCTCCCTTCCACACACCCTGCCTGCCCAAAGATCCTTCTCCTTGTGCCTTCATTGTTATCAGTAAAGGGGGGGCGGGAGGATTTCTATGACATGTCATATTTTTTCCAGAAAGCTGTGTTTGAGCTTGTGGGTGGGTTGGAACATCTTTATGAGTAATCTGGTGAACTTGTAGAGAAAATGTGAACTTGTAAAGAAAATGTGAAATGTCATAGAAATCATCCCCCTGGTTATCCATTTATTAAAATATGCCTTTTTATTTTGGAAAAAAAATAACAAAAATATTGTCTTGCATAAAAGTCATAAACTGCAATAAAATGCCCTGGCAGCTTCATTTATTTATTTGCTTATGAGTTAGTTAAGTTTTTATCTCACCAGCCTAGTGAAAAAGCACTACTCTGGGCAACTAACAACACTGGAAAACCAATGCCTGCCCACCGTCCACGAACACACACACACAAATAAGAACCAACAAACACAATTCTGCCTTTGAGATGAAGTTTGTTCCCATCTTTAGGCTTTGGGACTTTTGTGTCTTTGTGGGACACGGAGCTTAGCTGGGAAGAATCCAGTGTTTCGCCCCAGGCTGCCCGCTCGTGGAGGATGATGCCCTTCCTTGGACATGGGGCCTCTGTGGCAGGCTCCGGATGTCTGGGCCGGGCTGCCCCCTGGTCCCATTGATGGGGACTGGGCTTTTAGGAACGGTTAGCCAGGCTGAATGTTCTCCACGGAGCTTTCTCGATTGTCGGGAGACCTTCTCCCTGAGATCCGGTTGTTTCTCAGACAGAGGCCGTTTGTTGTGCGTTAAAGAGAAAAGCCGCTCCTGCTGAATTCGTTTTTCCAAGCCACTGTGGAAGACCCCGGTGCCTTGCCTTCTTCCTTTGGTTCTGCTCCCTTCTCTTTGCAGCCCCCAGCAGGGAAAAAATTCTTTACCCTTTGGAGGATTTTGATCCACCTGAGCCAAACTGGCCATCATGGTCTGAGCAGGATGTTCACAGATCAATGGGAACATCCATAAATTGCGAGGCGTCTCTGCAGTGCCTCTTTTCACAGTATTCGTAGTTGGGTGGTATCCTCCTCTAAACCGGCTCTCTGCCTTTGCTACAGCCGAGGCCCTTGTGGGATCTTTTGCGGGGGGGGGGGGGGCAGTTATTTCCCTGGCTTTCAGTCCCAGGCATCTTGCCGGATCTTGGGCCAACACTGAATACTACGAATAGTTTGGCTGCTGCACGTCCCCTCTTTCTTGAAGGGCCTCCCCTCCCTCCCAGCAGGGCACTCAGGTGATGGTAGTCGTCGTGTCAGGAGGAGCTCGGGAGGAACCTCCTTCCTTCCCTCCCCCGAAGAGACCCGCTAGTGGGGCTCGGTGGGGCTCGCAGCATCACTGTGCGGACCAGAAGCCGGGGCAGGTGGAACGCTCTTCTTCAGCACATTCCCGGGATGTCCTTCTCTCTGTGGTGGGGCAAAGGGGACTGCATAGGGCTGCCCGGGATGCCTGTCCCAGTGGCCGCCTCCCCAACAGCTGTTAAATCAGGTCTGGTCTTTTGGCCACAGCTGGACCGAACACCAAAGCGTGGATGAATGCATTTTCCCCATCGGCCTTTCAGGGTTGAATGTCAACATCTTTCAGAAGCACAGATCCTTGTTTCAAAAGCAAGGAGTCTGCAAGCAGTAACTTTTTCCATTTTTCAGGAAGTTAAACTAGCAACATGAAAGGATCTCTGTATCACAGAAGGATCCAGTTGTTTTGAATCTAAATGGCATTTTCCCCCCTAACAATGGCCAGTCACTCCCCATCAGGAGGCCAGGAAGTGGCTTTCTGCTGAGCCAGACCCCGGCTGTCCCTCTAGCCCTGTCTGGTCTGCTCTGACTGGCCGTCATGGCTCTCCAGGGCCTTTGGGTGGGAAGCTTTCGACGGTTTCCTGGAGATGCCGGGGACTGAACCATGCAAGCCAGGTCCAGGGCTACTGAGCCACGTGGAAGAAATAAACCTTTGGGATGCTGTGATTTTATAAGGCGAGAGCCAGTGTAGTTAGTGGTGAGAGCGCTGGCGTAGAATTTAGGGGCGCTGGGTTCAAATGCCCCCTGGGTCGTGAAATGCACTGGGTGACCCTTGGCTAAGTCAAGTTCTCTCCGCTACTCTACCTCACAGGGTTGTTGTCAAGATAAAGAGGGAAGGAGGAGAACCATGGATGCTGCTTGGGCGGCGGTGGCGGCGGGGTGGGGGGTGGGGGAGAGACACAGAGTATTAATGGGTCAGATAATAAGAGTGGATGCCCTTCTGTGCATAAGGCTGATGCTTTTGGCTGCATTTCCAGGAGCGAGGTCACACAGGCCACCACATTTGGAGCATGAGGAGTGTTCTGGTTGGAGGGTGGCATGCCATGCTTCAAACGGTCCTTGACATCTCCAGCTTTGACTCCTCACTGTTTTGTTTTTCCAGGAATTTGGACCCTTTCGCGGCACCGGAGATGTTCTCCCTGAATTCATGTAGAAGAGGTAAGCAGCAGGCGGGCCAGAAAAGGCGGGGGGCACCGGGGGGGGGAGCACCCTGTCTGAATGCCTGGATAGGGAGCTCTGGAACGAGCTGGAGGTGGTGAGAAAAGTTCCTTTCTTGGGGCTGAGACTCAAGGAGCCGCTGGTCTTTAGAAAGCGACTTTTCCAAATCCTGGAAATAGTTAAAGAGCATCGGGGGAGGGGGGGGCTGGTTTCTATTTTCTGTGCCCTAATGTGCCTTCTCCTTCATCTGAAGTGTCCTCAGACACACAAAAACCTATGAAAACCCAGACCACCTTAGAGGTGCAACTATTTCCAGTCTAAACAGCAATGACAGACTACATGGCCCCCTGCTACATCATCTTTCTCAAGTCCTGGTCTTCGATTCCTTTTCCATCCATCAGACCCTTTGTGAGACCACTATGGTCATGTAAGAAATTCCGCACACCTTCTACCAACATAAATTTCTAAGCCTCATCTTGACCTTGCTGGCTTGGGGTGGTTGTTTTTTTTTTTCATATGGGCCACCTGAAAGGGGTGGGGAGCAACAGAAACAGCAGCAGCAGCAGCAGCAACAGTGGGGGTTTAGAAGAGGGAATGTTGCAAGTCCTCTGTTGAACCATCTCACGCCTTTCTGTACTACAGCCCTCTAGAGAGGCTTTATTTACTACAGCCATTCCTGTCGTCTAGCACTGGTGGGATCCTGACACTCGTGGTCTCTTTCAGGAGTCCAGTCAAGATGCCTTTGAACGGTGCGCAAGAAAAAAATGAACGTGGCTGCAGTCCTCTGTAAACTTGTATCTCTGCTCGTGTTTGGGATGTGAAAGATTTGCACAGTAGCTTTTCAGTAACTAGATGGCTCATTAGGTGTTCCGGAAAAGACCCACGTGGCCTTCCGTGGGAACATCTGATGCCGTTCCTAGGCACCCTGCAAGTCCCCGTCTCTCTCCATGCACTGGTCTTTGCACTGGCTTTCCCACAGAGTAGGTTTGGTTTTATACCTGATTTGAAGCAGCCAGAAAAGACACCACCTTCTATGCTCCAAGTTGTCCGGCCGCCTTACTAGGGTGTCTGTCATCAGGGTGGAGTGATCGGCGTCCTTTCAGGTTCTCGTCTCCTCCCTTTTGCTTAATCAAAACTGTTCTTTAGTCCTTATCACTTGTCCGCATTAATTGCTCCAGCCAACTGTCCCCCCTTCTCGTTGACCTTTAAACGAGGTGCTTGAGCAGGAAAGAAGCATCCCTCATTGTGGGTTCAACGGAAGTGAGGCGGGAGACCTTTCTCTTTCTGCTCAATGACGTTCCAGCTCCTACTGGGCTGACAGAAGGTCTCCAAGGCCTTTCGAGGAATGTTCCCCTAAGTGTCAGTGATGAGGGCGACACAGGCCGAATCAGGTGCAGCTGAGAAGGTCACTCGGGATGGTGTGAAGAGAGCCAAAGCCAGTGAAGCCTCCTCCCAGTGAAGGCTGGTGGTTGGTCCTGGAGTCTTTGGTGGGGTTGGGGTTGGAGAAGGAAGTGGCCGAGGCCTCCCTGTCTGCCCCGGCAAGGCTCAGCCAAGGCGGGATCTCTCCCCTTGGAGACCCGAGTGGCTTCCTAGCACCTTGGCTCTAGGACGAACTGTCACACTGAAGTGCTGTCAAATGATATCTGGCGTTTAATAAAGAGGCTGATGACTTATGAAATATGAAGAAGGCTGACACTGGGCATCTTTCCTACGGGTGGCATGATCGGGGCTGAAACGTTGGGCAGACTTTTCCGTGACAAACCACTAGCCCTCCCTTCTGTGCAGGTTCTTGCCCATTCTTGGTGTCTTCATTCCGTTCTGTGTCGTTGTGCACCCCGCTCTCCTCTTTTCGCCTGAAAATAAAGCATTTCAGGAGGCTGTTCCTTTACTGTCAAGTGTTTTGCCCTCTCTGCCCCTTCTTCTCGAGCGTAGGTGTGGAAAACCCAGCGGCCCCTCCTTCCTCACCAGTTCTGACTGGGGAAGCTTCTTGTGCCTAAAGCCAAGCCCTGCTCTTTGTCACAGTTTCCCTACTATGCTAGATTTCCCAAATAGATCCAGACCTTCTCCTCCCACCCAATGTCTTCCTTCTCCTGCTTTTGTCTCACTCCTTGTCCTGTCCTTCCAAATAGTGGTCTTTCGTACACCACCACCACCACCCCATCAGGGGCAGACCAAGCATCTCCCCCGTGCCACCCCCAAAAGCAACCTTCTGCTTTTGGCATTTTTGTTCATGTGTTTCATTCCTCCACTTCTGGCTCTTTTTTCACCAGTTTGGTGATGAGAAAACTTTTGATTTTTTAAAAAAATATGGTTTGTGATGATGGTCATGTGCCTGTTTATGCTGTTTGAGCAGCCAAAGGACAGCTTAGGACAAGACGAGAAAGCACTCTGTGGGGTTTATCAGGAGTAGAGATGTAAAATTTCCGAAAACTCCCATTTTTTTCCAGAAAAACACATGTTCCCCCACCCCTTGTTTTTTCTGGAAAAAATGGAAATTTTCGGAAAATTTACATCTCTACAGAAGGTACAAGCTAGGCATGTCATCCCATGAAAACTCTCATTTTTTCCAGAAAAACACATGTTTTTTTCTGGAAAAAATGGAAATTTTCAGAAATTTTACATCTCTGCAGAAGGTACAAGCTAGGCATGTCATCCCAGTACAGGGTTAAGAGCGGAAATTCAAATCCTCTCCATCCTCTAGATGCCGTTTCAACGATGTAGCTGTTCTGCCAATCACTAAATCCAAAGAATGGCTCTAGCAATAGCGTAAGGAAACCACCAGTTTCCCTGCAACTGGATTATTTGTCTTGGCAGGATCTGTGTATTTCCTGATTCCTGCCAAAGTTGGACTCCGTGAGCTGGGGGTCGCTCACAGCTTCCACACTTCCATGTTTCCCGACACCCACACCAGGATCCCCCAGCCTTGGCTGCTGAAGGTACCCTGGCCTCTCTTTCTGGCTGCTGAGACCTGCCCACCATTGTTCTTTTAAGGTGCCTGTTGCCCAGAATTGTCCACCGCTTCCCCCAAGATTGGGGATGCAGGTGCAGTTCTCCCCTGGGGGGGGGTTGGGAAGGATGTTCCCCTGTAACAGAGACCTGTGCAAGAGACCCATTCTTCTGTCCTCAGCTGCAGTGGACATTGGGCCCAGCTCCCTCGGTGTTCACCTTGGGTTCCTCTGTGGGCCAGCAATATGGTTTTGTAAAGATGAGTGGGTGGGTTGTGTGTGGCTGGTGTACAAAGCTGACAACAGGTCTGCGCTCACCAGTCCCTGGTGCTTGTTGTGGCCCATGGATCCGGCCCTCCTGACGGGCTCGTAGGCTGCTTTTTTCCCCCCAGGCCATGTTTCAGCAGGAAGAGGTAAGTGTCCCGCTGGCCGCTCCTGCGGGTGGATTGCTTGGTGTCTTGTCCTTTGGCTGCCTCTGCTCTGCATTTCTCCTCATACCAGCTGTGGGAGCTTGCATAGGTTCAGACTGTGTTTGTCTCCATGAGCTTTCTCTGGGACTCCGTTGCTCCGTGTCGTGGGTTTGCTCTTTGCTCTCCACCTTTTCTGTTTCTAACTGCAGAAGCCGTCCTCGGTGGCATCTCCTGCTAATAAAATCTGGATTTGTTTCTCAAAGGGGGCCTAAAAACAGGCGTTCGGTGGGGGGGGGGAGGCAGCCCTCCTTGCCTGTCTGTGGCTGCAGCTGAAGCCCTGCAGTGCCTTTGGGTTGCTCGTGCCAAGAGCCCTGGACGGCAGCTCCCGGCCAGCACCACAAGTGGCAAAGGCTTTTGGGAGTTGCAGTCCGAGAACACCCGGGTGACCCACGGTCGGGAACCGCTGCCCTAGGGAATCTGAAAACGTGTCCCGGCTGGGCTTTGCGCTCTGGGCCCAGCCCTGTGCTCAGTGTTGTTAACCCTTGCCATCCCATGCTCTGCCAGCCACCATTCTAGACCATGTGGTGTGTGTCTTTGTGTGTGTGTGTGTGCGTGCTACATGATGTGGAAATATAGTTACAGCCGTGTGCCATGCTGCTCATATCATGCGCCGCAGGACGCCCTTGCGCCACCGAAGAGCACGGTCAGGATCCTCTCGCCCAATGATGCATTCCCACAAGGTGTAGTTGCCACAGCCTCCTCGGCTCTACGAACCAGCTTCCTTACAGCGATGTGGGACTTGGGAGCCCTTTCTTGGCCACGTGACACTTCTACCCACAAAGTCGGTGGCTTAGCATTACCCACCTTCAGTGGAGGCTGTGTTGGCCACTGGGTCTTGGGTGTTGCAGGACCTGGCGTGGCTCCAAAGACCTGGGTTTTCCCCCTGCTTGCTTCTCTCTGGGAGTGTTCCCTGCGCACGGGGGCACTCTGCTCCCCGAGGCCGGATGCTCTCCGCTCAGTGATTTTGCACTGGGTGCCGAGCAGAGCCCTCCGGCTGCTCAGTTCCCCTTCAAGAGGTCTGAGAAAGGATACAGGGCTCCAGTGTGTTCTTGAAGGCTTTCACGGCCGGGATCTGATGGTTGTCGTGGGTTTTTTGGGCTCTTTGGCCGTGTTCTGAAGGTGTTCAGGTTTCAGCCCCTTCAGAACATGGCCAAAGAGCCTGAAAAACCCACAACGATGATGCAGGGGTCCCTTGACTCAGGACCCCCCCCAGGTCGTCTTCTTGAGCTAAGGGACACCCCCCCAGGGCGCCTACTTTGACCCTAAAACAGAGGGGTGGGGACATGGCGGGGCAGGGGGGTAAGCTGGCAAGCTTTCTGGGGGGCCCAAGGTAGGAGGTGTCCCTGGGGTCCTCTGGAGGTGGAGGGGCCTCCTCTTCCTCCTTCCAGAGAGACCTGGCTGTGGCAGAAGGGGGGGCTGCCCTTCCTTGGAGTGCCAGGGGAGCGCCTTCCGGAGTTCCTCTCTGGGACTCCCCACCACCACCACCTCCACCACCTTCACCTTTCCGTGTCCCGGTCGCCGCAGGGCTCCTGGCAGTTCC